CTCCTCTGCTTCACAGCAGAAACCCCACTCTTGTCTTCAGCAGGTCTTGTCATCCTCCAGAGCTATTCCACCTCTGGAATCTTCAACTCAGACCTCCAGTTTGGGACTACAACCTCCTCAGTTATCCCCCACCTCGTGTCATCTTCTATCTTCCTGGATCCTATAGATTAGCTTTGTCCAATAGAACTTTCAGTGATGAGAGAAATGGTCTTTGTGGGCACTGTCCAATTGAGGGGAACTGAGCTTTCCTTTTTATTTTTAAGTTGGAGTCTCACTGTGTCACTGTGGCATGATCACAGCTTCTGCAACGTCAATCTGCTGGGCTCAGGCAATCCTTCCGCCTCAGCCTTCCAAGTAGCTGGAACTACAGGCGTGCACCACCATGCCTTGCTAATTTTTTGATTTATCGTAGAACTGATGTCTCACCAAGTTGCCCAGGCTGGCCTCGAACTTGGGGGTCCAGGCAGTTCTCTTACCTCGGCTTCCCTAAGTGCTGGGATTACAGGGGTGAGCCACTGTGCCTGGCCTAATGTTATTAATTTTAACTAACTTGAGCTGAAATTGAAATAGAAGCCTGTGATTCCTGGGTATTGAACTGAAGAACACAGCTCTACACTCTATTTCCTCTTCCACCCCTGTCCTGCCTTCCTTCTCTCTTTGGCATTGTCTCCCTGCTCCATCACATCAGCTACCCGCTCCCCTTGTCCTTCTGTCCCAACTCCTGGAAAACACTCTCAACTCTAGATTAGTCTAATTGTCTTTTTCTCTAGGCCTCCACAGGAGCTGCTGGGCGCTGCTGGGGGAGGGGGAATGTGTGTTCCATGACTTTGCCGGCTGCCATTCTTTCTCGTAGATGGTTACCAACCTCATTAGGGCCTTTAATTCTGCCCAGCAAGCATTATCCTCTTCTCTATAATGATCTCAAACCTCCAATGCTCCCAGCTCCTCCCCCACTCTCAACAGATGGTGTCACTTCCTATTTCATTGAAACAAGAGATGCTTTGAGACCACCTGACCACCAATTTTACATGGATAGCTTTATCTGTCTTCAACCTCTGTCCTCCTGCTGGCTCCGGTTCCTATCAATATCTAGGCATGTTCAAATAGCCTTATCTTGTAAACAACAATAAAAAATCCCAACCTTCCCTCAATCCCATGTCACCTTCCTGCTGTGGCCCTATCTCTTTCCAACCACTTGTGTTCACACTTCTTGAAAGTTGTCTGCACTTGCTATCTCCACTTTCTCACCTCCCATTCCACAACCGGAGGTAGTCTGGCTTCTGTCCCTACCACTCCCCAAAACCACTAGTCAAGGTCACCAATGACTTCCTTGTAGTTTGAGCCAAAGGGCTCCTTTCAGATCTTATCTTGACCTTTAAGGCATGTGACACTGCTCACCTCACCACCCCTCCCTCCCACTGGTTTCTAAGACACCTGATTCTCCTGATTTTCTTCCTTCTCCTCTGGCTACTTCTGTGTTTTCTGGAAACCGCCACATTCTTCCCTCTCAACTCATTCCCTGCAGAAACACCTGGGAATTTGCTTTCTCACCCAAGAGCTGTGCTGTTGTGTTTGGAACTCCAGTTTACACTGTGGATCCTGCTGCTCTGAGCCTGACATGCCTTCACGGGTGTGTATTTACAGCCCCCACTTTGAGAAGCTCTTACAACACTTGGACATCTGTTTTTTTCATTTGTTCCCTTAAAAGGCATCCTGCTTAGGAAGGGACACTGACAAATTAGAGGGCATTAGGAGAGGCTGCAGAGTGGTCAGAAAACAATGTCCTATGAGAAATCATTAAAAGAACTGGGAAGATTTTGCCAAGAGAGAAAACTGAAGGATGACAAAGGACTGATTTTAAATATTTGAAGAGGCAGAGCCTTGATCTGGGCTGCTGTGTAGGGTTGGAACTGGACCAACTCTAGATATAACAGAGAGGTGGGTTTTGTTGTTGATGTTGTTGTTGTTTTGAGTTGAAGTCTCACTCTGTTGCCCAGGCTGGAGTGCAGTGGCATGCTCCTGGCCATTGCAGCCTTGGCCTGCTAGGCTCAGGCGATCCTTCCATCTCAGCCTTACAAATAGCTAGAACAACAGGCACGTGTCACTACGCCTGGCTAATTTTTTAATTTATTGTAGAGATGAGGTCTCGCCAAGTTGCCCTGGCTGGTTTGCCTGTGGGCTCAGGCAATCCTCTCACCTCAGCCTCCCAAAATGCTGGGATTATAGGCATGATCCACCACACCACACCTGGCCAGAGGCGGGTTTTGAGTGGTAAAGAAGTACTACTGTATTCCAGAAAGTTCTGGGCCTCCTGGATATTAGGTGAGTGAGGCAGTCCTGTCTACCAGGACCTACTAAAGACAGTAAGCTTAGACCTATGTGACCAAAATAAAACTGGAAAGTGTCCCCCCACCCCCTCCTGAAGACCACTGGCCTAAGCTCAGCTGGCAATGTAGAAAAGCCACACTGGGGCGGGGGGTGTTCAAACTTGCTGCCACTCAAGAGCCAACCAAAGTTTTGTGGACAGAAACAATAAAGCTGGAGGAAGGCTCAGAAAAGCACTCGGCAACCCAGCCTTGTAGATACTCCAAAATATACCCAAATTGAGTGGACGGCAAGCTAGCCGAGCACCCCAATTTAGCTATTTTAGACCCTTCCTTGCCAGAATGTCTTTTCCTGATTTGTGTTTTGAAGTGATGCCCTCAGCGTATATTGAGGACCATCACAGAAACCATCCCACAGAGCTCTCTGTTGTGACTATTATGGGGATGTTGTTGGGGATGTTTGCTCATTACCTCACACTGTGTTCCCTTCATGAGGCCCCCCAGGAAAAATTCCTGTCTGATTTTAGTACCAAGAACAGTTGTAATTCTCTTGAGCAATAGGTCTGTTTTTATCTCATGGACACTTGAAATTGTGTAATGAACACGGTCTCCTTTTCATTTTGGCTGCAGGAAAGCTTAGGGACAAATTTGTGGCCCACCCACAAGACATGACTAGGGCATTCCAGGGTACATTGTACCTTTATTTCCATCTCCACTTGGTCTTCTCTCTTGGTTTTTCTTTCTTCTCTTAGCTTTCCTTCTTATTTTACTGTGCAAAATTGAGAACCTACAGGCAAAAATAAGTCACCTGTAACCTCACTTTTTAGAGATAACCACTATTAACAGTTGTCATTTTATGAATAATTTTTTTTAAAAAATAAAAATAAGATTATGCTGTGCATCAAGTGTTTTTAATTTTTTTATTTTGTAATATGTCATGAACATCTTTCCATGTAATTAAATGTTCTTTAAATAATTTTTTTTTTTTTGAGTTGGAGTCTCACTCGGTCGCCAGACTGGAGTGCAGTGACCGCTTCCGGCCACCGCAGCCTTGCCTGCTGGGCTCCGGTGATCCTTCCACCTCAGCCTTCTGAGTAGCCGGAATTACAGGCATGCGCTACCACGCCCGGCTGATTTTTTGATTTATTGTAGAGTTGAGGTCTCGCTGCCCAAGCGGGTCTCGAACCCGCGGGCTCAGGCAATCCACTCACCTCAGCCTCCCAAAGGCGCGGGATTACAGGCTGAGCCACCGAGCCCGGCCATCTTTAAATAATTTAAATTTTCTGTATAGATCTAGCAATTTAATACTAACTGCTAACATTTCCATATCCACTTACTAAGGGCCTGGTTTTGTGTATACTGACACATGTGTACATGTGAAAATATAATTCTTGTGTAGTATAGATCTACAATATGTCTGTATATATATCATAAGCTATAAACTTCATCTGTATCGACTCATTTGATGTTCATAACCCTAAGAGGTAGACAGCATTGTCTCCCTTGTACAGGTGAGGAAACCAAGGCACAGAGAGATGCAAATACCTGCCACTCTGCATTCACACAGCAGAGGCAGAAATTAACCCAGGCATTCTGGCTCTACAGCGTGTCTTCCCTAAGAGCTATGCTGCCTTTCAGCATACCATAGGGATTTCACAGGCCATGACGGCTGAACATTGCATGTTTCCTTTCACCTTAGTTTTAATTTATAATATTTGCCATATTTTAAGTACCCTTGTAAGTCACCTGAAATCCTTGCTGCCACATGGATTTACATAAACAGTTCAGGGTATGGTAAATGGCACAAGAAACAAAACTAAAATGCTACCCGGGGAAAGAAGATGAATTTAGGTTGTCCTGCAATGAAATGAATTTATTTCCTTGGGCTGTGGTGAGCTCCCATCCCTGGCAGAACTGGCTTGGGTGGCCATCTATCAGGAAGGCTGGGGAAGGCCTTCTTCCAAGGAGACTGACTTGGGCCAAACGAGCCCTGAGGCCCCTTCTTAAGAGTCTCAGAGTTTATGAAAAATGCCAATAAGACAAAATGAGGCACTTAGTGGAGCTAATGCCGCAATGCAGCCGCTGAGCCGCACCCAGGACCCCGGGACTTTTCATGCAGGTCTACCACCAGAACACACATCTAAAAGTAACAAACCAACAGAAATTTGGTTCCACACTCTCAGCCCAGTGTATTCTTTTCCCAAAGCTCTCTGGCTGCGGTTGCAAGATAGCCAAAGATGCTGTCACGGGCCTCAAACCTTTTGTTTAGATGACAGAATGAGGCAAGAAGGAGAAGCTGGGTAACCCGGTGGATGCCCCATGACACTATAATTCGGTAGGATATTCATTTGACAAATGCAATGGGGTGGAAGGGGCCCAGGTTTCTATTCCTGGATTTGATGTTTACTACGGGAGAGACCTTGGGACAAACTATCTGGGGGACATACTCTTCTGGAAAATTGGAGTTAATACCTACTTAGCAAAGCTGCTGTGGCGGTCCCATGAGATACTACAGGATGCTGCACCCCTAAAAATGTGGGCAAGGAAGCGCCAATAAGCCTGCCTCAGAGGATCCGGGGAGGGGAAAGGCTGCCTTAGGCCCGGCAGGCCGGTCTTCTAGGGGCAGAGGCCAGCATCTGCACGGCTTCTTAGCCTTCAGCCTCCTGCCCACTACAGCCCCCATGTCAAGAAAGAAGCAGCGTTTCCGACATACAGGCCCTCGCACGGGGACAACCGTGGAGGTGCGGGCGAGCAGCCCCTCCTCGCGGGCCTCGGACAGGAGTGGGGAGCAGGCAGAGGTCACATCCTCCTCCTCTTCCTCACGCCCCCGGGCTGCGTGCCCACAGAGGCACGGTCTGTGCGCGGTGCCACCGGGGCCATCGGGCTGGGTTAGAGGAAGGCCCGACCTCGGCGCAGCAAAGAAAACAAACACA